GTAAACCTCAAAGAATGAATGAAACCATTTCTTGGTGCTACGCTACCTGTGTTAGCCACTTCCATTAAGCTCCTAGTTTACACATAGTCACAGCTGAAGCTGTTGATCATAACCCTTAGTCCTGTCTGCGTGACACCTGCATGCCTCCCTTCCGTGGACCACTGGGCACGAGGACTCATTCCCAGGCATGGAATTGAAAAGAGAGACGATGCCATAGAGACACTTTAGCTTTCTTGCTTCCCCCTTTGGCCCAAGGGAACCTGGGGTTTTGCTTTTCAGAACATACAATCAAAACTAGCACAGGTGAGGTCTTAAGAAAACTTAGAACAATTATCTTTTATGAAAAATAAGTGCTTTTTAATATATATATATATATATTAAAAAAAAACCCTGTATCATCTTAAAAATCAAATGCATCACTGGAGTTTCTCTTTACCAGTACCTCCTTTCCCAGAGCCAAGCTGGCTAGCCAAGGCTTACAGATACGACAGCAGGAGCTGTCAGACCTCACTGACAGGGAAGACTAGGCCAAAGCAGGGACATTCACATTCAAACTTAAATCATGTATTTCTCAGTATGGAAGACTGCTGAGAAACAGCCACTGGATTCAAAAGAAAGCCTTCATTTTATTTCACTGGGATTTTTGTCAGGCCTTGCTGCCCACATTAATGCAAGCTGTGTTGTACATCTGAATAGCTGAGCAAAAGCATCGTGGAGGCAACGTACAACAGGATTATGATCATAGAAACAAATTTCTATACGCTTGCAAACAGCCCTTGACAGGTATCAATCACTGCCTCCCTAATTAGCTATGTTTTCATAAGTAAAGCGCTATGGTATGGGAACATGCATTATTGAAGGTGACTGTGCTGAAACACGTTTTTTTCCCCAAGTTCCTTTTTTGATTTCTGCTGTCAGTATGTTTATCCTAGGCGGGGCTGTCAGTTTGATTACATGGCATATACGTTCAAAGTCTGTTTGTACAAATAGTGAGAAAGTAATTTTATTGTCTTATTCAGTAAGCACAGCACCACTCAACAGTATAAACCAGTTCCTCCTAAAGTCCAGAATACAAAGGTTAAATTACTCATAGGCAAGTACATGATGATGACTACACTGAGAAGTGTCATCCGCCCTTTCGCGCTAGTGGGTGTTAGCCTAACAAAGGAGAAAAATAATAGTGACCGAGTCCCTTCCGTGCAGGAGGCCTCAGGGGAACCTGCACACTCCTGCGTACACCATTTTTGCAATTAATAATGAAGCTTTTTAAACTCTCCTACCTAACCTAAGGCTACAGTAAGAACAAGCACGTGGGCTTAGCTCCTCTGAGGTAACCAAGTGCCTAGCTGTTAGTAAGATACTGATACTTAGGTAGCATCATCATGCATTATCGCAGTTGTTATGCTTTAAACATAAAAAACTATACATTGTGTTCCTTACAAAATACACGGTATTATTATAATAAGCGTACCATTCGTAACCTTGTATTACAAAGCAACAGTTCTTTGTCGAAACGTCTCGACAAAAACTAGTAAGGCCTTGCTGCTGGAAACTCCAGTCAATTTAAATGGAGACTGATCCATTAATGAACTCAGTTTCCTACTTCAAGAACTAACTTAGTAAGTGCAATTAAGTGAGAAACAAGGGCCACAGCAAATATGGAAAGAGGGCTCTGGAGCAGGGCAGGCAGAAGGTAACCGCAGAAAGGAGCCCGAGGAAGACTCAGTGAGCATGACAGAAATCTTGCCCTGAGAACATAAAAATAATACCCTCCTTTCATTTTTCCTCCCCTAAAACAAAACATTTTTTAATGTAAATAAAATATAAAGCAAAAGAGAAATTTTTTTTAACTAACCTTCAGCACCTGGGCCTCTGTATTACCTTTGGCCCCCAAAAGGACCATGGCCAGAGCAGCAGAGACACTGACAGGAGAGAAGAAAACATTCCCTGCTGGGTTGGTCTCATTAAACCTTCCGAGCAGATCAAGTGCAAACCTGCTGTTGGCATTACGCAGGCTCTCCATGGTTATAGCTGAAAAATAAAAGTCAGTAAGGACTCTGGGAAACCTAACCTAACCTTGTGTAGCTCGCAGAGTAAAGACGGGATTAATGGGGTTGCAGCTGGGTACAGAAACAGCAAGAACTGCATTGTCAGTGCACCTCCTTCAAAGAAAAAATCAGTCACATCATTGAAAAAGCATATTTTTTCCACATAAATTGTATATCCCAACCTTCCCTATCACACTAACTTTAAAGACATGATTTTAAAAAATTCCTTGCCTTCTACCTTGAAATGGGAAGTATGTGTGCTGGCAGGATTGCAAGTGAAAGTCTGTCAGTCTCACAGACCCAGCACGCCCCAGAGAACTCACTCGTGCAGCTTTCCCCCAAGCCTCCCACCCAAATCCCGCACAGAAAGCATTCACAGTACCTGCGCAGGGAGAATTAGACAGCTTTCAGCAAGCTGCCCATCTTCGTGGCACAAACCACGCCAAAAAAAGGTGTCAACCCTGCCAAAGATTAAGTATACGCTCACCTTCAGCGGTGTAGAGCACCCCTATTTGCACCAGTCTGCTCTGCCGAGAACCAGCGAGCTACCTGCACGCTGCATCCAGGTACAAACGCACCTGAGTCCCAACAGGGCCGAGCGCCCCTGAGCGCGTGGGCAGAGCCCGGAGGCTTCGTCAGCCGAAGGTGACGTACCGGCTAGCGAAGGCAGAAGCAAAGCGCAGAACAGACAAGGCTTCAGGGCTGACACTGCGCAGCCGGAGCAGCGATTCCTCTCGGCGAGACGCTCCCTAGGAGGCCCTTGGAGCAGGGTGGGGTGAAAGGCGCGAGGGCTGGGTCAGGGGCAAAAACCCACAGAAAGGCTAGCGGCAGTACCGCTTGATGCTGGAAAACCTTCCAGCTCAGATGCCTGCTTCTCTTTGCTTGCTTGCAGCCGGACTTTCGGATTTGGCTGTTTCTAGCTTGTTTCCTGAAGGAGTTTCATTTCAGACGCGGGCATTTGCGCATCTGGCCCCAGCGACCAGGGCAGCTGCCCAGCAATACTGTTACGAGTACTGTCCAGACCCAACTACATGGAGGAGTTGCACCAGCACTGGGGTATTTCCAGCACAGTCTTTCTACAGGAATTGCAAAAGAACACTATCTGCTTCCACCGCCGGATGGACAGACGCCCGGCATCTTTGCAATGTTACTTTATCTAGCTCTATGCTAAAAAACGAAAACAAAAAACCAAACCAAAACAAACCAAACACAAACCCAAAAGCGTACTTTCACTTTCACATGCTCACACCACCGCACTATGCAAGCGCCTCACTGAAACCAGCCGCGTTACAGCCCCCACCCCGCGGCTGCCCGAGGGGCCCCGGCCGCC